TGTAGATGCATGATGTTTTTACCTATCATTTGGTATATTTTTTTTATAAATCTGACTTTTTACCTGCCTACAGGGGGGTTTCAAAATAACAACTTTTTCACAAAAAATTGACTTTTTCAACTTAAATTTTGAAAGTGTTCCGAAAAGTCTGACACTTTTATATATATATTAAATTAAAGCTAATGTAATCTACTTTATTTTATAAAAAAAAAATTTTGGACTTTATTTTGTCTTCACGGTGAAAATGGCTACCAAATGCTATTATTGTGGGAAAATTCTCAATTTTATTTTTTACATTTTTAACTTTATAATGCTACAACTTATTAAAAAGTGTATTGATCAATATAATTTTTTTATGGGAAATTCTATTTTTTAATAATCCCCTTTTCATTCGACATAATTTATCTTAATCAGGATATTAATAAGGAACTAGCAGTTTATGAAGATTTTGGAATAATCCATCAATTTTATAAAATTAAACACTATCTAAAGATTTGCATCGAAGCGTTTTTTTTTGATAGTGATTTTAATCACTGTCAGATATCATTATACTTGATCCATCTATACCACGTCACCACTGTGCTGCGACCCCCCAGTGCTGGGTTTTTTTTTAAATCCCTGCTCACAGGGAGAGATTCAAAATAGCAACTTTTGTACAAAAATTTAACTTTTTCAATTTAAGTTTTAAAAATGTTCCGGAAATACTCCGAGCTTCAAACATATGTTAAAATAAATCTAATGTTATGTACTATAAGTTAAAAAAAAAAATTGTCCTGACGACTTATCTTCTATGTGAAAATGGTTGGCGTAGTTAAAAAACGTGCAATTTTAGTGTTAACATTTACGATTTCATATTTTATTTTTTCAACTTTAAATTACTATAACTTTTTGAAAAATGTATAGATCAAAACAAATTTTTGTTTCTAAATGAATTATGTATTTATCTTTCATCCGATATACTTTTTTTTTAATCGGACCATTTTTCTTAATACCGATGGGGTTTAAATTTTTAAAAATACGAGTAAAAAGTAGAACTTTTTCGACTTAACTTATGAAAATATTCTAGAAATACTTGGAGCTTTAATTATATGTCAAATTAAACCTTACATTATGTACTAAGAGTTCAAAAATAAAATTTGTCCTGACACCTTTTCTTCTGAGTGCAAATGCCGTCAAATTTATCAAAAAAATTTTATGTAATAATCACTGTTCAACATGAAATATTTTAATACTTAATAATGCCTGAAATACTCCGACCTTCAAACATATGTTAAAATAAAGTTCATACTATAAGTTCAAAAAAAAAAATTTGTCCCGACAACTTATCTTCTATGTACAAATAGTTAAAAATACATGCTATTTTGTGTTAAAAATTCTTAGTATTGTATTTTCATTTATTTTAAAATACATTATAAAGGGGTACACTGATTTTAATGAATATTATAGAAAACTAATTAACATAGAATACAGGGTGATTTTTTTATCATAACCCACTCAATTACTTGCAGAATACTAATAATTTAAACATTTTTTTTTATTATTATCTTTAGTTACACATTATTCTTGAATTTTTAACTATGTAATACTTTTTAAGTTCATCCCTTAAGCCTTGGAAGGGGGTCAACTTTGTTTTTTTAAATGGTAACACATATTTTTAATTTAATAAAATGTTTGAGTTNTATTTCTAATTTAATAAAATGTTTGAGTTGTTAATTTAATAGTAAATGGCATTTGAATTTTTAATATAACTTAATTCGTTTATTAGATATAATCATTTAAAGTTTCAAATTTTTGAATTAATATACAGGTATAATACACAAGGGATTACAAATATAGGTAGCTNTATATGTATAATACACATTGGATTGTAAATACAGGTAGCTAATTGGATTTTTATGACATTGCTGTCTCAGTCACGGATTGTTTATTATCAATTATGATTATCAATAGATATACTTTCTGTATTGTCAGTTAGTGTATTTATAAACTCATAACAATGTGCCTTACTACAATTGATAATAACAATGCTGTGTACCTGTTAATATCGATGTCATAAAAAATCAATTAGCTACCTGTATTTGAAATCCCTTGTGTATTATACCTTTATATTAACACAAAATTTTGAAACTTAAAATGATTATATCTAATAAACGAATTAAGTTATATTAAAAATTCAAATGCCATTTACTATTAAATTAAAAACTCAAACATTTTATTAAATTAAAAATATGTGTTACCATTTAAAAAAACAAAGTTGACCCCTTTACAAGGCATAAGGGATGAACTTAAAAAGTATTACATAGTTAAAAATTCAAGAATAATGTGTAACTAAAGATAATAATAAAAAAAAAATGTTTAAATTATTAGTATTCTATAAGTAATTGAGTGAGTTATGATAAAAAAATCACTCTGTATAATCTTATACTTATTTCAATTTTTTTTCTTTAAAATCGAAAAAATTAATTTTAACATTTGAATCAGCTTAAATTGCTATTTTTTTAAAAAAACGAACGTTTGCCGATTCAGTAAAACTCATTGCCATGGGCAATGTTTTTTTTGCAATTTTTCAGTAAAATCTTTTTGAGTTAGAATTTTGCTTATCAATAATCCACCAATATTTTAAAATTAAACACTATCTACAGATTTGCATCGAAGCGTTTCTTATGATAGTGATTTTAATAACTGAGCTGCGACCCCACTGTGCTACCGTTTTTTTTAATTCGGAAGGACTAAATTAAATTTTTATTATTTTTAGCACTATGAAAGTTACAATATTTTATTAATTATTTTTTTTAATTCTTTCAAGTTATAGGTTAAGAAAAAAAAATTATAGGGAAAAAATTAATTTTTATTATTGTAAAATATCAGTCCAAAATAACTTTGAAAGCCATGTTAGAGATTTTAAATTAAGATATAGATCTCAAACTTGGTATTTACCTCTTAAATATAGCCCGTTAAAGATTTAAATGAGTATTGGAACATTTTAGCTTCGATGCAAAGATGAGAAGGTATTAGTTTTACTATGATGTGTTTTTTTTTTTTTTGTGTCTCTTACTACTTTTTCTCAGCTCTCATCGAATCGATTTCTTTCAAAGATACGTCAAAAGATCACAAATCGTATCTAGTCGAAGACATTTCCTCGTTACCCGTAAATAGGAGAAACCAAAAAAATTACAAATTTAAAAATCGCTAATTTTCAAAATTTTTCAATTTTTTTTACTTAAAACTGCCATAACTTTTTCAAAAATAAACAAATCAATATCAATTTTTTTATAGATTCATAATGTCCTTACCTATTATTTGGTATATTTTTTTTATAAACCTGCCCACGGTGGGGGATTTAAAATTACAACTTTTTCAACTTAACTTTTGAAAGTGTTCCAGAAAGTCTGACACTTTTATATATATTTTAAATAAAAGCTGATGGAATATACTTTATTGTGGAAAAATAAAATATGGTACTTTACTTTGTCTTCATGGTGTAAATGGCTACCAAATGCAATTTTTGTGTGAAAATACTCGATTTTATTTTTTACATTTTACATCAATACAATTTTTTTATGAGAAATAATATTTATATCCCTCTTTTATTTGACATACTTTATCTTAATCAGGATATAAATAAGGAAATAGTAGATCATGTAGCTTTTGCAATAATCCACCAATTTTTTAAAACTAAACACTATTTAAAGATTTGCATCGTAGCGTTTTTTATGATAGTGATTTTAATCACTGTCAGATATCATTATACTTAACCCAACTATGCCACGTGACCACTGTGTCACGACCCCCCTGAGCTGGGTTTTTATTTATTTCATATAAAAGGATAATAACCTTATCAATTTTGAGTAAGACACAGATTTTCTCAAAAAATATTGAAAATTTTAAATTTTTGTAAATTATTATTTGGTTATTTGGTTTAAAAAAATCTACAATAGGTAATGAAATAATTTTTTTATTTATTTAGTGATTGATAAAAAATATGACTCAAAGAGTAAATACTACCTACTACATATTTCAAAAAGTAATGATTAATGTAGTGAACTATTTTTCTAAATGTATTGGTAGCGCAATAAATTGAAAGAAGCGAATTTCAACCACAGGAAATTTATCATTAAAGAATTTAACATAAATATGTTCTAATACAAAATCTAATATTCCATAAATATATTGTGGAAAATCAAAAATTAAAGAAAAATCTAATTATAGAACATGTTTTTAATAATTATTAATAAAAATATTTACTTATTTTTTCCTTGACCGGTGGACACCAGTTTTTTTTATCATAAACTTTGTTATCGGGTAACAAACTTTTTATTCTTTTTATTATAACTGAAAAATATCATTGCAGTATTATAGTCAAAATGTTTTGATTAGAAAAATATTTAATTGACACATTTTTTAAATTTTATCTAGTTTATATATAAGGTCATTTAATGGTTAATACAAATTATAAGGTTTCCTTTCTACTTAAACACGTTTTTTGTATTAATTTAAATAGGAGGTATTTAATATAATTTTAGTAAACCTACCAAGAAGCTTTCGAAAACAAAAATGTTTAGTAATTTACAATGAACATAATTATGCACACAGAGTAATCAATTTTTAGTATGGAACATAATTTTACAGAAAAGATTGAAAATTTTTAATTTTTGTAAAGAGATAAACTATTTGTTTCAAAAAATTTTACAATAATATATAGTAAAAATGTTTTAATCATTTCTCGGGTGATAAAAAACTAGACTCAAGAATTAAGAAAATTGCGTTTACTATTAAACATGAGTTATTAAAGATAAGATTTTTATATATTGGATAACAACATCTTAATCAATAAACATTAGTTTATATAACAAAATAAAAATATATTTTATCATTAACAGAGAAATATCAGTTTATCCAATTTATCTCAAATTACTAAACTTAACAATTAACTTATTGTTCAACTAAGTCTTAAAATATTTTAATAATAAGCATAAATATTTTATGATTTTTTTTTCAAGCTAAATTGCCAAGAAAAAATGATTGTGTATACATGTTTACATATCTTTATGTTTTCGGTAAGTAAACTCAGTAATTTGATGCATAAAAAAAGAATAACATATTTATCTCCACTATAAAATAGTACTGAATGTTTCAATAAACAATAAAAATTTGTTAATATATATTTATATAATGTATACATGTATAATATTGATGACACCCACGCGTGTACCGGTACGATAACCAAAAATAAAATTATACAGGATTAGTGTTGCTGGCGTTTGGTGACGTGGATGGGGTGAATGCGTTACAACAGTTTAGTCTCAAAGCTATAGACGTCGGGATACGCGAGAATAATAACATGTGTCGCGTGGACAGTTACAAACAAACATACTTACATACATACAGGAACTTTTTAGTTTGATATTCTTTAAAAGCGTGTTTTTCAGTTTTTTTTAACTATATTTTTAAGGTATATAAAAAAGAGAACCGGTTAGTTTGAACTTAATGTAGGGTGATTCCATTTGAAATCACCTAATGTGTGTGCTGGTATAGTTCAGAAATTTATGAAATTTATATCATAGAATTATTAAAGGTCATTGACAACAAAAATAATATTTTTTTTTTTTTCAGATAGTGCATTTTTTATAATTAAACATGAAAAAACACCCTATGTTCTAGAGCCTATAATTTCACATCCAAATAAGCTATCACTGTGGAATTAGCATTATTTTACTCATATTATATAAAACTTCAGTTTCATTTTTAAGTTAATGAATTTTGAATTTTTTTTTTAACATCGAAATTTTGATTTAAATTTCGCAGTATTTTAATAGCAAAATTTGAAGGTCAAAAACTGTTTTAATAAAAATTTTTTTTCTTTTCAGAAACTTTTAGTTATGTTCTTTTAACCTATATAATATTTGAATCGATTTATACTTTTTTTTAATCATTTTACGGTCTTAAACACGCATGGTTTGCTGAAAATAGCCAACTTTATCATCTCATTACACAAAAGTGACTGAACGAACTTTTTTCAAATTTACATAACACTTACCTTTAGACAATTAAAACGTCTGGTGAAAAATTGATGGAGAAATCATTTTAACGCTACTTATAGGATTTACAAAATTTACAATTTGCGTATTATGGAAAATCCACAAACTACGTAATTTTCGACACTCAATTATTGTTTTTTGTATATATTCTAGTATTAGATCTATATATATGGACTTGGTATTACATCTTCAATCTGAAGATGAAAAAGATATTTGTGCGTATGATTTATTTGAAAAATTCTTAATTTGTCAAAACGTAGTCGAAGAATCAACAATATTTGATATATTATTGATATAATTAACTTAATAATGAAGTAATGTAGTTTTTTCGAACTTAGCCATTGCTCTTTGGATTTTTTTGAGTGCCAATAACTAAATCTACTGCAGAACGCAGAATAAATACAAAAAAACAGAAATTGAGTGTTGAAAATTACGTATTTTGTGGATTTTCCATAATACATAGGATGTTTTTCATGTTTTTAATTATAAAAAACAATACAAAAAAAAAATATATTATTTTTGTTGTCAATGAAATTTAAAAAGTCTATGATATAAATTTCAAAAGTTTCTGAACAATAGCAGCACACACATAAGGTGATTTTACATGGAATGACCCTTTAGTGTTTCAATTTAAATAATTATTTGCTAACAATATAATTTTCGTATTATTTAAGTTAAGAAGTATATTTCAAAGTTAGATTTCTACCGGTTTTTTGCAGTTTAATTAGTTTTTTAATATAATATGTTATTTTTTAAGGGATTAATACTTACAACGATTGCTAATGAAATAATTGAATACTTGTCTTTTAAAAACTTACCAGTGGCACAAGAAGAATTTTATAATTGCTTTAATAACATTGAATTTGACGACAATATACAAATAGATAAAGGTGAAAATCTGTTTAAATATAAATCATAGTTATTCAAATTCTGCATATTTTTTGTAAAACATTGTCATAAAAATGCTAAAAAATGTGGTATTTTTGTGTCATTAACTAGAAAATATCATTGATTTTTATTATCAATTAAAAATATATAAAATTATAATCAATTTAAGCTGTAACTGACTAAAGTAGATTACAGCTTGAATTGCAATTTTTTTTTGAAAATAGAATATTCGGCTTATATTGTATATGCTTATCTCCTTACATTTGTCAATTCGAATACTTCTTGTGTTTATTAAGTACATGATTATTTGATTTTCTTTAGATTCATTATATATATTTTTAAATGACATAAGAGATAGATATGTTTCCGGTAATTTACAACCGATCAATACGAGTAAAGAAGTAATAAAATTTATTAGAGGGTCCGTTGATTTAACACTAAGTAAGACCAGTAAAGAATTAATGAAATTAATTGGATTGTATGAAGATTTAACACTAAACAAGACAAGTAAAGAATTAATGAACTTCAAAGGAGGACAAACATCAATTATTATAAAAGATTTTGAAATCTGCTGTACTAAGTTTCATAAGAGATTGTTCAGGGTTGAAGAGCCTATAGTAATTTTTTTACTTTACTTTATTTATTTTGTATACTTTTTTCAAAAATAAGCAAAATCGTTGAGTATTCTCATCGAAAAACTATTAGAGTAATCTATCGTCTCAAGTGGAAAATTTTAATTTATATCATTTTTATTTTAACGATAAGATTATTGAAAATAACTCTAAAAACTTTTGATCCAGTAAATAATTTTTGGTTAATATTTTCTTTTTATTATCTGTTAAATATAAATTAAGAAAAGAATAGAAAAAAGTCAAATCTTTTCTTGCTAAATTATGGTTGTAGGTTATGTAGATAACTTTTTTGACGAAAATTGTCAATTTTTAAATGAGTATATGTTATTCAACTTATTAATTCGAATAATAGAATATAACAGATCTCTTTGGTATTTATTTATTATAGGTTAAAGCTAGGTTATTATTATATTTAAAGTGATAAGACCATTGTTGTTTATTTTACTGAAATTTTAAATAATTAAATAATTTACCTTTAATCTGAAAATCAATTTAAATCAAAAGTAGCTTAAATTTTATAGTAATACAAGATAGGTAAGATGCTTTTTGGGTATTTTGACCATGGTTGGGTATTTGGGGATTTGGTCAATTCAGGAGCAACGAGGTTCTATCGGAGTTGTAGAGTCCGAGGGCTTAGAACAGTAAAGACAAGTAGATATAAAAAGATATTAATTAAGTCCCTCTCATAGAGGTATTAAACGCTAAAGTATTCATGAAGTGGCCAGGGTCTTGGCCTCTTATCTAACACACAGTCGAATTATATGACCAAGCACTAACTAGTTATTAATAATTAAATTAAATGATGTTTAAATCAATTTATTGCTTTACTATTTTTTAGTCAGATTATTAATTCTAAATAATTGGGTTAATATGAATTTACTTACCTCTTTTATATGGCTTGTTCAAAGATCGTCGAGATTTGAGTAAAGATTTATACTGTTTCTTTTAAATAAATTAATAAAGTGTTGACACAAAATAATTGTATTCAATATCGTCTTAAAATGTACCGACGACGACACGGGGTCGCGGCTATTTTGATAAAAACGAATTAAACAAAAGAATTCTGAATTCTTTATTGAATTCAAAGCTTCAAAAGTGCGGAGAAGACACATGTGCAAGCAGAACTAAGCCTTTTTATATTATTTTTAATTACCCCTATCACATGGGATGTTGCCGTCAGTGCTTTTAGTGATTTTCACTTTATTGTTTATTAAATTGAACATAACATGATAATTATTTTAAGATAAGATGCATAGTATACAATAATTAATTTAACACATATACATATATAATAGTTAGTGTATATATTATGATAGATAAATTAATTATTTGTATGTATACAAGTAAAATAAAATACAGATTATACATTTTTCATTGATAAATTTAAGATGCGTAATGCAAAACATTGGTAGCATATTACAACAATTTTCCACCGAAATCATTAATGTAAAACAGTTGTTAAGTTTGTTAATCAATTGGTCTTGTTTTTAAATCTATTCATTAAATTATTTGTCTAAATATGATACTTTTTTGGTTAGTTTTGCATAATATTTATATTATACTCTCATGATTTAGACAAAATTTTACATTTCAATATTTGATTATAAACACTCATTATAAGAAGTCTAAAAATAAAATAAACCAAACCCAGTACAGTAGTGTTGTGGGACATTGGGGACCTGACAATTTTTGTTATATATGTATATATAATTGATTATCATCACTATCATAAAAAACGATTATTTCATCCATTCAGTACTTCTCATTTTGTGGTCGGCTAGTGGACATCAAAATTATACTTGTCACAAACGGTGATTTCGCATCTTAGCCGTGGGCTCTCAAATTGAGACACTTCACTATTCATCATAGAATCGATTTTAGTACAAGCACCAGACTGACTCATCAGCTGCAGAAACGCGCAACAACTCTAGGCGGAAAAAACACAATTGATAATAAAATTTATTAAACGCGTAAAGGCGTTTTTATCGGTAACTGTGAATTTAAGTTTTCTAAATAAATTAAGTAAAATATAAATCGAGAATTTTCACACAAAAATAGTATTCGGTAGCCATTTTCACCGTGGAGACAAAATAAAGTCCAAATTATTTTTTCCATAATTAAGTATATTACATTAGATTTAATTTAAAATATATATAAAAGAACCAGTAATTCTGGATCACTTTCAAAAGTTAATTTTCAGTGAAAAAGTTGTCATTTTGAATATCCTCCTGTTGGTTAGTAAAGGGTCAAATTTATAAAAAAAATATGCCAAATGACATCACGCATCTAAAAAAAAATTATATTGATTTGGTAATTTTTGATAAAGTTATGTAAAAATATTTAGCGATTTTAAAATTTGTCATTTTTTGGATATATCTCCCATTTACTAGATTTGACTAGATACGATTTGTGATCTTTTGACGTATCGTTGAAAAAAATCGATTCGGTGAGAGCTGAGAAAAAGTGGTAAGAGACACAAAAAAAAAACATATAGTAAAACTAATACCTTCTCAGCTTTGCATCGAAGCTAAAAATAATCGTATCAATTATACTAAATTAGTTAAATTGTAATTTTAATAATTTGTGCTTTATATTAGTTTACGTAGTAGAGTAAAAATTATAAATTTTGCATTACTTTAGTTTCACACAACTGTCGGAGATTGACGGGCGGTGAAGAAAGTGCACCGGAAATCGTTAAAAAAAAAGAGGCATGGTAGGGGTTTATAATTCGCGACCCAAGACGTGACAGAGACAAATCTTACCACTAGGCCATCATGCACTTGCGATTCAGATCCCGATACACTTTCAATTAAGTTGATAACGTGATATGCGGCTGAGGGAAACACGGTATCGTGTCAATTTCATTAATAATAAATATAAACATTCGAATTTAATAAAAAAATACATCTTTATTATTTTTTATTTAAGAAAGATATCATGTTTATTATAATGGTCGATTTTTATTGAAAACATTATAAATATTATTTGTTTAAAATTAGTATAACTGAAAAATTTACAGTTATTTAACACAGAATAAAATGTTATTAAAAACAATATATTTTTTTATTAAAATTCTAATATTATTAAATTGACACGATCACTAAGTAGACCGACAGATTGGCGGTGGCTTTTTTGACTGACCAACACCGCGTGTCAAACACTACGATACAAAGTCTAGCAAGTGTCACACAGCCAACGACGACCCGCCGCAAATGATACGTAGAGTCTTCTTCCCGTCATCAATGTGACAACGTCGAAGATGTACACCACTGGCTCCGAACGTGACACACGACCGGACTCAACAAAATGATCCGCACCCGCGCAACGTCTCTATAAATGCTGCTAATTTTTTGACGTCCAAGGACCATGCCGGACTTCGCGTCGTCGACACCAGCGAAAGTGCCTCGATATTATGCGAAGATTTTAATTAATTATGTTCGTATTTTAAAAATAATCTGTTATTGCTCATCATCAATAATAAACGACCTACGGATCTTTATCATGAAAACCAATGTCGACTACATTATCCATAACAATATATTTAATAATAACACAATTAATTCTAGTTAATTAGATGATATCAATATTTAATCAACAACAACACAAAAATATATTTTCATAATTTCACGAATATTTAGATTTATATCATCAATCACTTGTAACAAATTTATATCAATGAGATCTTATGAAAAAATTGTTTCACTACTCAAATATTTAAGCTCAATATTTCGTTTCCTTCTGTCCTTTCTTAATCCATATTTCAATGTTTAATATCGTAAAAACGCATGAAAATTTAAATTGTTACAAACTTCAAAATTCTAAAGATAATTTAATACTGAGCATTTATATGATACTTTTTTTACCAATTTTTTTCTGAAAATCTATTGTACAAATTGGTTATCTAGAAATTTTTTTTTTAATTTTTCGATAGTTAAAAAAATAAAATTATTTATTATAAATATTTTTATTAAACAAACGTATAACAAATATTAAAAAAAAAAAGTACAAAACATATTAACTAAATCAAAAGTTATTAGAGTTGTCAAAACGTGCGGAACCACCTGTATAAATAAAAATTACAATTGAACAATATCAATAGAAATTAATTAGTATTTAATATTTATAGTTAACGGGACATAGTGATATTGTTGCCAAGGCTTTAAAAAAACATTCTGCAGCTGTAAATATGTTGTATGACTGCATTGAAAAGTATAGTATTTTTCCGGGACATCTAAAATGTAAGTTATATTATACAAATAAATGATGTATCAGACGAATGTATAAACAAAATAAAAATATTATAAAACCAAAGTTGCTACTTATATTATTTGAGTAATATCATTAAATTAAAAATGGTATTTTGTTTAAACTTTATGCATCCTAAAAACATTAATTTTTATAATATTTTCTACATTTTCAAAAATAATTCTTTACTTAATTTTTTTTTAATTTACATTCTTAAAATTAACAATTGAATTAAAATAAGAGTTTTTGGTATCAAAATTTTTCTTTTATAACTTATTTATAAAATGGCTATTTTAAATCTTAAAAAAAATTTTAATAAAAAAATTAATTTTTAAAATATATTTTGTAATTGCGAAAAATAACATAAAACATATTTTAAATATAGTTTTATATTGTAAAAATTGATTAAAAAAAAAATTATAAAATGTTATGTAGATCATAAGTTATATGAGTTATCAGTTAGATCTGTTCCACCCTGTATATATATATATATATTTATATAATATCCATTTCTTATTATAATAAAATTTCAGGGAAATTTAATAATGATTAATTTTATAAATCTATAATCCATAATTTAAAGGACTTACATGCTTAATAAATGGTTCCTTGCGTTTAAGGCTTTAAAAAATGTTTCGCTTAATGTTTTTTCATTTTCTTTTTTAAAATTCTTAATTTTAATCTCTTATTGTATAATATTAATCAAATAATATTTCAGACAAATTGAACGATGAGTCTTTCCGTCAATCTACGATCAGCGATTTAAAGGAAGTTATCTCTAAAACCCGCACTCTTCAATCACTGGTTAACCGTGTTCCAATACATATTTTTGGTAATAATTACAGTAATTTTGCGAAGTATTGTTCTGCAGCATATTATACTTTTTTGATCTCCGATAATAATGTAAGTAAAGACAAAAAGCTAATTACATAAAAACACGGTAACACAGTGGAGTCGCGGTATATTGGGGACGTTTAGTTGGGACAAGTACCCACATAGCAATGAAATATTTCTAGAATATTCCTAGAATATTTATTTTTGATATTAAAATATTTCTAGAATATAACCAGAATATATTGAAATATTCTCACAATGTTCTCAGAATATACTTTGGCAGCGAATATTACATTCTCACAATATTTTAAAGGTATATTTCTAAAATATTATAAAAAATATATTGTGACAATATTTTTAAAATGTTTTATAAATATATTAAAAAAATGCAAAAAATTAGACCGCTACGCGGGATTCAAACCCTGTACTTCTAACGTTTTATACTCGTACGTGACCCATTGACCCACAGGTTGCTTCAAAGGAAATGAGATAAAAAAGACTATTTAAGGTAGTTCAAATGGTTATTTGTCTGTTAAGTAATTTTTCTTGTTTAAAAAAATTCAAAGTAAATACAATTTTATATTCAATTTAGATTAGATTCATATAATTTTTTTGAAAATCAGCGATCCCATCACCATGATTTCTCCTTGTAAGTTAGAAACTGACTATTATTGTTGATAATATAGAAATATATTCTAACTATAATAAAAAAACTTTTTAGGATTTTTAGTTTCACAGGACAATAATAAGATATAATTGCGCTGATAAAACTAAAAAATTTTTAACTCGATAGACCTGCAAATAATAGCAACAAGGTTTTTTTTACTGTCCTTGACTTATTTAGCTTAATTGAATTAGGTTAATTGAAATTGATACTAATTAGAGAAAATGGCTGTTTACTTATTAAAGATTTAGGAATATGTATATATAATACATAAGTATTATATAACAAGATACCAATATCATCCAAAGATGTAACTAAAGGGAGAAAAGAGGATGGCTTGTGTCTCTTAAGTTACCTCAGTTGGCCAACAAGATATATATTTATAATATTTAAAAAATTATATTGATAATATATTCAACAAATATTTCAAGTTAAATATTCTATATTTATTTTAATTAATATATTTTCATAATATTTATAAGCAAATATTTAAAAAGATATTTTTTAAGCACATTGTAGAAATATTTTCGGTGAAATATACTGTATTTATTCTCTTTAATATATTATCAAAATATACATAAACAAATATTTAAAAAATTATATTGTGAGCATATTATGAAAATATTTCAATAGGATATATTTTTTATTATGTTTAAGAGATATTGTCACAATATTTTATTCAAAATATTTTAAAAAGTATTTTGTAAGAATATTTTGACAATATTAATATATTGAAATTGCTATGTGGGTATAGATGATATTTGACAGTGATTAAAATCACTATCATAAGAAACGCTTCAATGCAAGTGTATACATTTAGCATAATTAAAACAAATTGGTGGATTATTCCAAAAACAACATCGACTCCTAATTCCTGAATTATGTCCTGATTAGTATTTCTTTGATTTATAAGTATAATATATGAATAAATAAATAGTAATTTAAAAATTTAATTATAGTAATTAAACTTAGTACGAAATTGTTATTCAATAATTTAATATTGTAAATTTTACAGAAAAGTTATAAAAAAATATAAAGTAGTTGTATAATTCGTTACTTCTATGGCAAACGTCTATAAAACTTGTAGAGCTCGATCCAAAACTTTTCAGAAAATAATTTAAAATAGTTTTGTCTAAACTGGTCTACAAGGAATTTTCATCAGAGATAAAAATATATTTGTTTTAAATTAATTTTTGCACTGATTTCAAATCTACAATTAGATTTTTTCTATCACCTCTAATTGTTGAGATTATAACAAATAGTAAAAAACAAATATTTACATATACTTGTGTAAATACTTAACATAAGCTTTATTTTAACATATGAATAAAGGGCGCAATATTTCCGGAACATTTACAAAAGTTGAAAAAGTTAAATTTTGGTGCAAAAGTTGCTATTTTTAAATTACTCATATGGGTATGTAAAGGGTCAAATTTTCAAAAAAAATATACCATATAATAAAAGGGAAATACCTAAAATATTTATATAAAAAAAAATATATTCTGATTCATTTATTTTTAAAAATTTATGGCAATTTTAAGAAAAACAATTTTAAAAAAATTAGAAACTTTCTGATTTGTAAAATCGTAATTATTTAGATGATATCTCCCATTTACATGGAACAAGAGAATTTTTTTTCAACTTTTAAGGGCAATGTCATCAATTAAATACGATTTGTAATATTTTGACGTATTGTTAAAAGATAATAAATCGTATCGGTCCAGTGAGAGCTGATATAAAGTGGCAACAGACATAAACCAAAAAAAACAAAACACATCACAGTAAAATCCTTCTCAGCTTCGCATTGAAACTGATAGTATTTATCATAAATCACTTTCATCATTGAATTAACCATCATTATGATTCAAATATTTAAACTTTATCAAAAGAATTTGAAATTTATAATATTCGCTAATATACTATCATATATGTATGCAGTAGCACATCAATAAATGTATATTTGACTATCGATAATATTTTTATATGATCTTCTATAAACTAATTTTAATGTCTATTTATAAAATATTGAAGTTAATAAACTTTTCCCTTCAAAAGGGAATTTTTTTTTCAAAAACTGTTGAAGGAATAATGAGTTTAATAACATTGAAGAATTTATCTCGTGCTAAAACAGCGCTGTACAATTGCTTCACGAACAATAATTTAATCGATTTTATAAAAAATCGTAGTAAGTGAATTTTATTATGAATATTTTAGTTTTTATTTAATAAGTAACCAAAGTTTATTAATAGTAACTTTACCTATTTATTTTTAACATTTTTATAGAATCTTTTGATAGATTTTTAAATAGACTAAGGAAAAGAATTCTTTCTGCCGATATCCTACCTAGAAATGCTCATGACGAAATAATTGAATTTTTAAAAGAAGATTTATCAAATTTTACGAATGAAATAATTAATTGCTCCACTATTTTTCATTCAACATTGTTTGAAGTGACAGAACCTGAAGTATGTATAAAAATATTCTTAGCTTCTTAGCTTAGCTTATTAATGAATTATTTCGTAAAAGGGTTTATTTTTGAGTAAATATATTTTATTGAGAAATCGACGGTAATATTATTAAAGCTTCCTCTGTCCTGGCCAACACAAAATTCAAAATAGAAGAGGGACAGAGAGTGGTACGCGGTGTTAAAAGAAACCTAACATAACTATTCTTTAAGCTCAACGGTGACAACTGACTTAACCTGACCTAAAGTTATGTGGTGAAACCCAACTTAATCCAAGGTAGTTTTTGGTTAGTATCATTCATCACTGCTACCGTCGAATGTGCAAAAATATTTGCTACTAAAAACGAGACAAAAAATTTAATTTAAAAATAAATTAAATAAATATCGTATATAGAGTTTTAATAATTAATTAAAAATATAAAAATTCATAAGCCTTTTGAGTATTAAACCAATTACATACAGGTTTTTTCAGTAAATCATTTGGGCAGTACAAATATTCTGTTGACCGTGAACTCTCTGGAGTTCAGGTCTATGTGGTAGAGGCACCACGGACGATTTAAGTTTGATAATGCATTAGTCTTGAGTATCTATACATTTCTAAATCGATGACGTAGACTTTTGGATGACACTTTGTTTTTGATATCCTTTCATGTAGATCATATCAACATGCAGCGAATTCAATATTCTATCGATTTCTCGGTGCTCGACATAACCAGATTCTATAGCTAATCGATAAAAATTTCACTGTAGCCAATAGTTTACCACTCTAAATTTAGCCTTTAATTTTTAATTTTTAGGATTTCAAAATCAGGTTTTTGTTTAAAAATTCAATGCTAAACTACGATTGCCAAACGCAAACATTTCTTAATCAATTATTTAGAGTCCTCTCCCAAACACCGACGTTGAGAATGTCTATTATTACCAAATTTATATCTCTAAGGTAAATTTTTATTCGTTTATAATAACTGAAATTCTCCGATTTTTCTTCGGATTCGAGTAATCTGTTTTGTGGTTTTTTTATTTGTTCCGAAATCGTAGACACTTATTTCTCCGTTTCAAAAATCTGGTATGCATTATGGTTTTTGAATAAAACACCTATAGATTTCAATTCCTTGATAATATTTGTAACGGAAACGTTGATTTTATTTTTTCGGTCTGGAAACATTGGCAATTGTATATGTTCGACTTTTTTAACGCGTTTGTCAATACACAGGTCGACGTTTCGATGATTGATAATATTGAAGTATTGAATTCAGAATCGAAATTAGAAAACAAAACGTTGATTTTATTGATTTGACCCCCGAATTTTGCAAGTGCTTATTAATTTCAGTCATTCATAGAGGTTTTGATTGAGAAAACTGAAGATTTAATTCCTAAAATGATGGAGGTCTTCTCTCGTTTAATTTACTACCAAACACGTCTATTACAAAACTACGACTGAATTCAATTTTTGAGTTTACACGTATTACCCAACTGTTTTTCGAACTGCTGTACCATAACCATTTGACTAGTGCTGTATTTCATTTTTTGCGGACAATTTTTTCTACGAGATAATCATCAGGATATTGTACTTTACGTATTTCTTCTAAGTAAAAATATCCATCGATATCGTTATCTTTATTATCTCCAGGAGGAGACTATTGCGGCCTATGTTATATCAAACGGCTGCTATAGTAAATGGTGCTTATCGCATATTGTATTTTATCTAAAACCAGTACAGCGCGATACACTGTTCGACGCAATACTAGATTTATATAAAAATAAAATTAAAAATAACTCTGAGCGTACGAATAAGTTTTATTAATTTAATAATATTCCTGCTCAACCCCCTCCCCACCAATAAAGACGCTTTGTTGATTTTAGTCACAACGAATATTTGTGTTGACCAATTGGGTACTGATCTTTACAAGATTGCCCACGATGAATTTGATTTGACAGTCTGTTATAGCTCGACGCTTTAAATTCATCGATAATGGGATTAGGTCGGCTTCTGTCGGTAACATTCCTATTCTACAGTGTTTCGAATGGATATAATCATACATGATAGTTTGGGAGCCAATCACGCATACCACCTCTCGTAAATTTCCACCAAGTCCACATGCTACAAATCTTTTTTACCGTAGACGTTAACGTGACTTCTATTATAGTTATTTCTAGATGGTATGTGCAATTCTAAAGCTATCTGACGTTTAGATATTTGGGATTCTGCGTATCAAGCCGGCTTCTACGTTCTTTGAAATTGGCACTATCTCATTACACACACCCGTGTTGTCAGCAACTTGCAAAGCTTATAAAAACCATAATCTAACTACAACCTCGTTAAGATCATTCTAATACACTAGATTGTATCGTTGAAATTTCAATGCACTACTGTTTTCACTGTATTATTCTTCTTTTTGCACGGGGTACAATTCATTTATAATGTTCGTATTTTTGTATTCTGTCGATTTTCTGACTTTTACACCATTCTGAGTTAAATGGGGTGATGTTGGTCGAAGTTTCGACTTGTACATTTCCAAATCATGGTTGCTGTACGATGAAGGGCACCGATAAAATATTAACCGCGACAGACTAGATCAACGAATTATCTTCGAATTTCACTAGTCTATCGCTAAAATGACATCATCATTTGGGAGTTTCTTTGGACCATACGTTTTATCTAAATTAATGGAATCTAAAAATTTTTCTACTATCCAGTATTTTTTATCGCCATCTTTTGATTCTCATTGGAACGTATTCGTTTGCACCAGCTCCACAAAAATCAAGTATCTCGTATCGGATATTTTCTTCGACGAATTAATAATAAGTTTTATAATTAATCAAGAAATATATGTAGCTAAAAGAAATCAAATTTTTTTTTCCTAATAAAATATTGGGATTAATAATTATTTAGCTATTAAACATAAGACTATATAAGATTGTTTATATTATTGGANTGTTTGCACCAGCTCCACAAAAATCAAGTATCTCGTATCGGATATTTTCTTCAACGAATTAATAATAAGTTTTATAATTAATCAAGAAATATATGTAGCTAAAAGAAATCAAATTTTTTTTCCTAATAAAATATTGGGATTAATAATTATTTAGCTATTAAACATAAGACTATATAAGATTGTTTATATTATTGGATCATTTGGCTTGTTGGCAATATAAAATTAAAGAATAACACAATATAGACTAAAAACTAGAGGTACTCTTAATTATTTAATTTGGTAATTTTGAATTGAAATTATCCATAGTTATTCTTCCATTAATTTTTTGAATATTTTTGTTTCAGTGTCTCTTAGAGTTGGTACGTATCATTTGAAACAATTTAAAAACAAATAAACTCGCGCACAATTGATAAAAATCTGACCGTAAAATAAAAAAATTGAAAAATTCATAAAAAAAATTGTATATTTCTCGTATTTATATTAGGTCAATCCGAGTAATTTTAATAAAGTAGACGTCATTTAATGTAATGAGTTGATACATATTTTTGGAGTTAGTTAATAATACTTCATATTTATCCATTACAGATCAAAACACCAATTACATTTTTGTAAGACTCTCTTACCCAAACTACTATAATAACATTGATAAAAATTTTCTGACTTAAACTTTAGTTTTATTATTCCACATTGGTGCTATAATCGGTAAAAAAAAATAATAAAAAATGACAACACATTCTTTATTTAGTAAAAATTTTATATTATAACTTCAATATGATGTTAAAATATTATTTTATTACATTATTTGTTTTAGAGTCAGAATGGTAAAGTAAGTGTCATTTTTATTATTATATAAATTTAAACCTAAATATTAGTTTGGTATATTATTTATCCATTGCAATAAATAATGAAACTTTTTCTGTCCACTCTGGCATTAGTTATAGCTTAGAGGACTTTAAACATTAATTAAACAAAACAAATTAAATTATATTTTGACAAAATAACATATAAATCATTTATTTATTAATCAACACAGCAATTTTAATTTTTTAATCCTTTAGTCAACAAATAAGAACATCGTTAAAATTTTACTTATTTTCAATCTTTAAATAGTTATTAAATATTTTTTCATGTAACATTAATTAATTGTTAAATGAATAATGATGAATTATAACGAAATTAATAAATAAAAAAATTCTACTTTTAATATATAATTCGTATTTATTTTTCGGAAGTTTTCAAAATTACAATTCATTAAAAGGAAATGTAAACTTTAATTAACCGGTCAGATAAATTATATTTGTTGAATTTATAATATCACTACTACAAATCATTTTCAATATATATTTGTGAATTTTAGAAACATAACTGTCAAGGGGACTTCTTTCTAGAAAAAATTGTTTTTTTTTAATTTCCGGAAAAAATTATCTAAAAATTTGGATCATTTGACCCACCACATCTCAATTATGTATTATACTAAACAAAGTATTTGAGTGTATATAAGTGATCATGAAATCACCTATTTCAAAAAGTAAAACGCATTTCTTAAAAAATAATAACTGGTTTCCCCTTGAAAAAAAAATAATTGATTTTTCAACAAAGATTGACCAATAGACACATACATATTAACTAGCATATAAAATAGAAATCTAATAATATCTAATTAGGGAAATAACTTGTCCACTGGTTATTCACATTTTTGTATCTAGACGAAAGGAAGAGTAAGGGTGATACATGTTTAATGATAAAAATGCACATACTTAGCATCACCTCCAATCAATATTTTAAGATACTGATAAATCTTCAGAAGTTATTAGTACTGGTCCAAAAATTGGTATCGACCATTCCTTTTCTTAATTAATTAATTTCTATTTTATATGCTAAAAAATATATATTTGTAGTTTATAAAAATATAGTTGATACTCTATAAGATATAAGGAATGAACTGAGAAAGTACTCAAAAAATATATATAACTAAAAAAATGGTTTAAATATTTCTGACAAGATGGATTCATTATATTAATTAAATTATTTTTAATTGAGTGGATTATGAAAAACAGATTACTCAGTATAGTAAAATCTTTGAAAATTTATTTTATTTTTAATAATTCTTAAAAAATATTACTACAAATAATTTTGTTGTTTATTTGAACAATTTTAGAATACATTAAATGAGGTATGTACCGATAAACTGTAAATTATAGTATGATTATAAAAATATTATAATTGCAAAGTAATATAAAATCACTCAAATTAATTTTTATGAAATAATGTCACAATTATTTTCTTTAATTTTCCCTGTACTTTACTATGTATCAGTTTCAGTGATTTTATTTTACCTAATAAAATGTTTAGTTGATACAGAATTCGAATTATGGAATTAAAAATTAAGAAATTAAATTTTCGTAATGCATTTTTTTAGATTTTAAATTATTTAATACTGAAATTTCTCTTTTTAATTATAATTAAGATATTAATGTGACTCATACTCTCATTAATACGCTATAAGGAGAATTTTTAACCATGAATACTTCTTGACGTATTTTAAGAACAAACTCTTTGATTATTCTATAATTGAAAACTTGTATTCAATAACAGGATTTGCATCATTATCAATTAAACAATCTAGTTAATTATGTACTATCCCATTTGAAAAATAAAGTCAACACCCCTATTTGTTATAAGGGATGATCCTAAAAAGTAATTAGTAGCTAATAAATCAAGAATGTAACTAAAGAATTTTTTCTCATTATTCTATTTATTTTGCGAGTAATCGAGTGATTTATGATCAACCGATGACCCTGTGTATATTATATATATGTATAATATCGTAGTTTTTAGGTACTTTTTCGACTCGCACTCCGTGAGCGATCGCCTGTTTTAAGTTGATATAGTGCGCAATTAAGCGTTCTTTGGGTTGCAAAGTGAAAATAAGTTTGGTTGTTTTAGACTCATGTGGCAAAACTTTGGTAAAAAGACTAAGTCATTTGGTGGTTGTGAAGGGATAGGAATAGGGAACTTTGTATATTCTGCCAGTATCGCCTGTATCGGACCACGAGTTCAAATCTGCTATGGTGTCCAAGTCCTCATACCATCGGAATTAGCCGTACGGCATGGGCTTACTCATTGCCCAGCCGTACAAGTTATTATCTGTAAACACATTTCAAATATACTATTTGTATATTATTATTATCGTTTATTACTTATTGTAGGCGCACTACAATAGCCGACAGACCAACCAAGTTTCTAGTTTAATTTTTGAAATACTTTAAACACTTATTATGTACTTACTAAGTTGATGAAAAGTTTCAATAATTTCAATTCTATTGAAAACAGACCTTGTTTGATACACATCGGAGAATATGCTGTCGAGATATTATGTTGTGATTATTCATGTTATCGTTGTGTTACATCGAGTTGTTGTCGGTTTTCTCTCTATGTCTGCATTGTCTTCGCCATATTAACGCTTCTTCAGCTGCAAGCTCTATGGTGCTTGCGAGACAGTAGTCTTGTATTCGGTTTTCGTTGTAACAGAAAAATATCACTTTTGCGATAGTCGCACCCTTATGCGCTAAGTATATCGCCGTTGGGTCTATATATTTTCTGAGATACATCACAGTACCGTTCATAACATATTGTACACGTTGGTCAACTACTTGCATTTGACTTCAATTGATCCATTCAATGTAGAACATTATCATCCGCCGTTTCAACTAGCCGAAAAGTATAATGCTTGTTCATCTATCTTTCTAAGACATACTCACTTGTATAATTTATTATTTGTTTATATCAGCGCCTTCTGGCATAAGTATTAAGTGTCCCCTCTATCCACATTGATGTATATAAGATTTTGTATTTCTTGTATAATATATTTAGATGTTATAATTATATATTGTAAAATTCATTCTACATTCAAACATACAGTCCACACACCTTATTTCTTATCCTCGACATAGCTAAAGACTTAGGACAAAATAAAACTACGAACGTTAACGAACGCGCGTGAATACCACCGGGCGCTGCGTTCATACTGATCTAATTATCAAATTATTAATAATTGTAGTCAATATTACAATATCCGATCAAGACTTTGGCATTGGTTATATGACCAAATTATTTTGTATTTTATTTAATTATTTAACTTTTATTAATCAAGTAATTAATACCTACTTGAGTTCTGAATATTGCAAAATATTTCTTAAACTAATCAGTATAAATACCAATAGTAACAAGGTCATATGTACAAGTAATATTCAATTTTGTAAATTTTGTATTGTAGGATTTTAAATAAAGAAATCAGTTAGTTTTCTGAAATTACTAGACCATGTTAAGTTAAGTTATGAGTAATTACAAGTTTAGCATACATAAGAAATATGAAAAAATTGAATATTAGCGACTGATCGACGACGAAATTTTATTATTATGATTTTTTTTTATAAGCTAATAATATTTGTAATATTTAGACTTTGAATATTAATATACTATTAAATAATATTTGTTTTATATGATAACAACTAAATTTTGTAATAATTAACTTATATTACCAATGAACTAATATTTAATAATGAAATTTGAAATCATCTACGAGGTTTCTATAAACTTGATTTTAGAATCAAAATAGGAAATTTGCTACAACAAATTTCCTACAAAATTGCAATATCTAAACGTATTACCGATAAAATTAGTCAACAATATGACTGTGGTATTGACGACACGAATAACAAATTGAATCCAAATATATTATGATTTGACACGATAGATGCAAGCTACAAAACAACTAACAAGTTGACTCTTAGGAGGCTAAGAATCAAGAGAGAGAGACGATTTGTCAAACTCATAACCACTACCCGGACGGAATGACTTGACCAGTGATAAGAGAAACAACAGGTGACCAATCAGTGTCACCATGTTTTAAAGATAGAGTTTGCTAAGCGCAAACACTTAAAGTCTTGGTATACAATCCACAATCTAGTTTGTATGATCACAAACGGGCGTCTTGAAATTATTCGATTTTGTGTAATGCATGTACCAACCCACCGCGAATACTCTATTCCACCATTAGTAGCATATTGTAATCGTTTAAAAGCTCCAGCTCCAATTTACTTTGTGAGGTGACGACTTGGGCCACGCAACGGATTGTGAAGTCGCCACCCTCATGGCTCCCTTGCAAAAGGAAATCGGGTCGCCAACTACTTAGGCGAGGGTCTTGATCATAAAAAGAACAACACCCGGACCATAAGTGGATTTAAGAAAAAAAAATAAGGAAACCAATAATATGCACTTTGATGAAACAAAGTGGATTAAAAAAAATTATGTATACATATACTAAAATATAAAGTGTTGTTGTAGACTATAATACGCTGTCTGGGAATTTACCCACCACTGCTATAACCAAGTCATCCACATAGGCTTGTGTATAATAATATTTGTTTAACTCTCTAATAAGCGAGTCCAATACTAGACACCATAGCAAGGGGGAGAGAACCCTACCTTTTGGGCATCCCTGTTTAACACTCTTGATTACTTTGGTCTCATTGAGCTGTCCCAAAATGAAGTATTCCTTAAACATGGATTCTATCCACTTAACCCTTAAGCAGACGCGTACCTATTTTTAACGTTCATAGTAGCGTGGGGGTCTATTAGACACCATTTCTAAAAAAGTATAAAATATGTATAAAAAAGTTAATTTTTTAAATTCAAAGACATTATTTGTCACCATATAATAAATAAATATAGATAAAAATTAAAAAATAAATAAATTACAAAATTATGTGCATTACTAAAAATATATTTTTATATTATATATTTAGAAACCCCTCGTTTTCTTAGTTGAACCTATAGTAATGACAATCACACTTCTTCTAAAAAATTTTTTCGAATCTGTTTATTGTTTTGGGTATTTTTATGAAAAATAATTTTAGCATTTATACCAGCTAAATCTATGAGTCGGAAAAATAACACCAAAGGCCAACGCCTTACTTTACGTGACACTGAATAAGTAGCACACATTTCATCTACCGTATCAAATCCAGTTTTTGTTTTATTATAAAAAAGTATAATTTCGGGCTTAGAATTATCTTCTGGCTGTTCAGAAATAGAACCATCAAGATGCATAGTAGATAACATAATCACATTTTTGTTTTTTTTTTTGGTATATACGAAACAATTGTTATTTGCTTTCCAAAACCAAACAAAGTTGAATTTTCGACTCTATTTTTAGTAGAAACAAATTGTATTGGTAATTCTATTTTATTTTTTCTTAGAGTACTGACAAGTGTTATTTTTTTCCCATCAGCTTGTTGGCCAACGAAATACTACTGAACCAATTATCAGCCGTAATATTACGCCTTGTATCATAAATGGGCTGAGATAATCGAAGTACAACATCAGTGGCTGAATTAGAAATTTTATAAGGCCCGTCTTTTGGTTTCCCTGTATACACTTCTATATTGAGAGTATACCAAGTTTGAACGTCACAAATGAATTGAATTTTCAAACCTTATTTAGCTGGTTTACTTGATATATAGACACGAAATGGACATCTACCCCTGAATGCATCAAGTTGTTCATCGATTGTAGTATATTTGAATACAGCATAATTATTTTCACAATTGGCCAAAAAAAGTTCAAAAATGTCTCTAAAAGCAGCGAAGTTATCAATTTCTTTACGATATTGACGATCTCTGTAATCGTCAAAACGAATACAACGTAATAAGAAAAAAAATCGTTTCAACGTCATTACTGAATGAAAAATACCTATTCCTAAACCATTTGTTCTTCAAAAATCTTCTAAATTTTGATGTCCTGACCTATTTACTTCTAATAGAATGAGTAAGCCGAGTAAACATTTAATTTCGTCCTCATCAGTTTTATTTACGTCTCTACTATAAACGAATTTATGAGCCATACGATCAATGTATAAATTTTTACAAAATACAACACTTCTGATTATTTTATCGTCTATGAATAATGAAAAACAGCCAATAGGAGTTTTACAATTTTTTGCTCCACCTCTCACGCCTGCCGGAACACGAATAATATTTTGCTGTTTTGCTCTGGTATTTGTTCTGGTAGGGACTGTCTTGGCCCATTTTGTTGTCTTATCTTTACCCCAAAAATATTGTCTATTACCTGTTGACGAAAAATCGGAATCAGTTTTATTATATTCACTGCCTGAACTTGAATCATTTGTCTCAGTATCACTATTGTGTTCATCAACTTCTAATGTATCAGGCAATTCAGAGTCGGTGTCATTCTTAAAGCTCATTTCGTTTTCTTCAGAAATACTTTCATTTAGCAAATTTGAATACTCTATATTTCTAGGTTTTCTGAGTGACTGGTCATTGTGATCTGGACTACATTTATTACTTATTAGTTAGGAATAATATAGTTTTAGTTTGTATATAACATAAATATATATTAATGCGCTTACCTTCGTATATTATTTAATAATTAAATGTACCGAACTTTTCAGTAGATACCTAGTTTTTATAGCAAATGTCTGATAATTTTATTCAATAGTTGAAAATATCGAAAAATTTTGTTTTATATTGTACTTGTACGTTGAGGTGTAAACTCGTTCGTAGAAGCACATCGATTACCGATAATCAATGTGTCCACATTGTGACGTGATATTTAATTATATGTTTTGTTCGTGTTTGTTCCGTATCATCGAGTAGTGGAAATTCTCAATAGATTATTTATTTTTAAAACTTAATTGCACAGTCGGTGGCAGATCCACATAATCCCAATTCCACAATATTATATCGATTATAACATTGCATTTACAATAAAACGATATTTTGAAAAAAAATACAAGTCCAAAAAAAAATTGTAACGTTACAAGTCGCGTGGGGGTCAATATGACCCATTTCAACTTTGATGGATATTTTAAGTCATACATTTTTTTTCGAAGGTATTTATTTATGAAAATCTATTCAATATTACTATAAAAACCATCTTCTAAATTTATATCTATGTACACCTTTTATGCAATATAATACATCCGTTTTTATTTATGTGGGGGGTATGCTAGACCCCCACACGACTGTTTAAGGGTTAATAATAAGTGATTCTATTCCATGCTGTTGTGCAGATTCACGCATAGCATCGAAGGGAGTATTGTCAAAAGCCCCTTCGATGTCCAGGAATATAGCTATTACATACATTTTATTCTCTACAGCTTTCCCTATCTTAGTGGTTAAGCAGTGTAGAGCTGTATCAGTAGATTTCCCCGTTTGATACTGTTGTTAATTGCAGAGTCAGGAAAATGTGTGTTCATCAAATGTGATAATGTTTCATTATCGTTATTGGTGAACATTCCGTCTGGTAGTAGTATTGTCTCGACAGTTTTGTTTGATCCATTCCTTAGTGATCGCAGAAGTCTAGTTGCTATAGGAAGTTGTTGGATATCCCCACAGAACTTCTTCCAGCTTTCTCTTTTGGACTTTTTCAATGCAGATTTGTAGTTCCTAGTTTTGTTTCAAACCTGATTTCATTGCTTTATTTAAGAGCTTACGTGAACTCTTTCTTAATTTGGACAGGTTAGCATTCCACCAAGCTACGCCCTGCCTTGTACCTCTCCTTTCTATTAAAGCACAATTTTCTTTGTAGGCCGAGACAATGGAATCCTGTAGCATATTTACAGCTCTTTCAGTACTCTGTCTCAACCCCAATATAAACTGTAGGTTATTCAGATCACGAGAGAGATCTGCCCAGTGGTCCCAGTTTGTTCTTTTCGGGTTCCTATAGTATTCCGTCTTAACTTTGTTAATTTCCAAAGTGAAACGTAAGTGCCTATGATCAGAAAGAGAAGGTTTGGAGGACACTATCCACTCTTTTATCTTTTGAACAAACTGTCAGATCAATGACTTCCTGCCTGTTCCTGATAACAAAAGTAGGTTCACTACCTCTATTCAGTATACTAGGTCTGTAGTCAGCAATAGATCCATTATAACCTCTCCTCTTTGGTTTATGTTACTGCTCCTCCAAATAGTGTGGTGTGCATTAGCATCCATACCTAAGATTAGTTCTAGTTTTTCATTTTTGCAATAATTAATAGTTATTTTCCCAATTGATCTTGCGATTTCTGGTCTACATTTGTTGACGTTGCTGTCTCTTTGCTAGTGGACGGTTCACCAAGTGTCCCGTTGTTCGCATTGAGACCTTCAAGTTCGGCGATTCTTCTACGAAGAGTCACCAGGTCACGATCTTGTTCCGACAGGTTATCCCTAGGATCCCTGATCGTCACAAGTTCTTGTTTTGTGGTTTTTCTATGTTTTTATCCATATAGTTGCCACGAGTAGTCGAGAAATAAAGGTCCGTCACAGCAGAGCTCGATACTGTGATAAGGCTGTATACTCTATGGTGCGCCAGGTGCCATAGAGTATCCCAATGGTCACTTTACCTTTCGGCTAACTACCCTAAGTTAGCAACCCTTTCACTTGGTATAGCTGGGTTAGGGGGGCCTATTCGCTGTTAGTAAGCAGGTATGTCCAGGCCTACCGGTCCCAACTAACCAAAGTCATGACCGGCTAAGAGCAGTGGTACGTGTTGCCACCCCCACTGAAATAACTAGGGACTATGGGGTTGTTAGGCCCGTAATCCTTGCGAATTCCCCTGCGGGGATGTTGTTATTGTAAGAAGGTTAAAATATTAGAAAAATATTGTAACGTGCACAAAAAGGTACTCTTTCATTCATTTTTGTATACTTATATTTTAATTATTTTGGTTGACCCGAATGCGTGCTGCAACGTCATTTATCATCTAAATAATCATGATAAAGTGTTGTGATTTGTTTATGCGCGTGCGAGATAGTAAGCTATGTACTACTTCGGACCGGTTTATGGACGAAATTTGCGTGTACACTCAGCCCGCTCCTTTTCTATCTTGAGAGTCATTTGCACTAATTTCCACTTGCGTTGTAACCTAGTGATAAATATTAGTTCACGTATTCTCCGTAACTTCCGGCACTGGGTTTAATTAAATTTGTTGACCACTACCTCTGAACATTTGCTGTAATCAATATTACTCTCTACTATTTTATTTGAAGGTGATAATTTCAAAAAGCAATTGTATACACGGCAAGGTCATCTCTGTACATCATGTTGAAGTATTTTGTGAAAACGAAATTTGAAGTCTTCGTAGATAATAAGTGGCTATTATTTTTCACTACAAATAAACTCCATTGTGGCTGAATTCAGACTGACAGTGTAATTGTAAAATGCTGCACTATAATATGAACGTTATATTATAGTGATTTAAGTATCTAAAAGAACCCGGCATTTCAATGTAGGTTATTTATCATTACTATAATTACAAATCCTGAAAAATCAATATTTATTCGCTCATATGGTTTACTGGTTCCTAGCCACCTGATCACTTTACTAGTTGTAGGATTTGGTCTAAATGTCATGCATATATCATAACTTTTTATGTTATTTATGTTTTAAATTTCTCAACGTATTCATCTATTTTTAGCCACTAAAAATATGATCTTGCTAATGATATTGTCTTTGATATTCTCATATATTTAATTGTAACCTTTACCTTTGTTAGCCGGTCAATTTTAATGAATAGTGACAAACATTTTATATTTGTATACGATTTTTTGATATTTTATGTCAAAATTACACTACTTGTGTGTAAAATTAACATGCGTATTAAAAATATAATATTGATGTTTGAGAATATTTGGCTCATTTCTTACAGTGCATATTTTGTGTTAATGTTATAAGTGATAACATAATATTACATTTATGGCACCTCTATTCGTTTTTATAGGTATCTTTAAATTATTTCCAATGATCTCAACCTAATCAATATCATAAAGGTATTGAGAAAAAAAAAATGTCCTTGCATGAAATCAAACTATGTTCAGCTTTGCAATATACAAATAATTGATTTTTCTACTCTTTACATAAATGAGAATATTTATTAAAACAGTTAATAATAAGTGTATGGATAATTTTTTTAGATTTTAGAAAATGAAAACGTGGATGATCTTGTGTCTAAAAGATATGATGTAGCAATTGATATTCTGTATGAATGCTACGAAAAGTATAGATGTTTTCCAGGAATAAAAAAGAGTAAGTAATATACTAATACATGATGTAACAGACAAATGTATAAACGAGATAAAAAAGTTATAAAACCAAAGTTGTTACTTATATTATTTATATCATATCATTAAATTAAAAACAATATTTTGTTTAAACTCTAATTCAAGCATTTTTTTTTCTAATGAAAAAAAATTATAAAACAATATTTTAATATAATTCATGAATCAAATCATTTTTTTCTTTACAAAATACACAACTGCTCTAAAAAAACGAGTGTGCCGTCTAAAAACAATCATTGTATGTATTTTAGAATTATTATTTTTTAATAATATTTTCTACATATTCAAAAATAATTTTTTAACTAATTTATTTTTAAGTTTTATTTATAAAATTACAATTGTGGTTTTTTTTTTTGTGTATTATTAGTTATATAATATTTCAGAGATATTGAACCATAAGTCTTTCCGTGAATCTACGATCTGCGATTTAAAGGAAGTTATCTCTAAAACTCGCACTCCCCAATCACTGGTTAACGGTGTTTTAGTATATATTTTTGGTAATAATTACAATAATTTTGCGAAGTATTGTTCTGCAGCTTATTATACTTTAATAACTTTAGATGAAAATCGCGTAAGTAAAATTTACGAGTTATTTAAATTAATTATATTAAATAACTAATTCCTTTATGAAGAAAAATTATAATTTATCAATTAATGGTGTTTAAAACTAGTATTTTAAATACTTAATTCAAAGTTGTTATCGAACAGTAATCTTCTCAAACAGATCACTTTTTTTTTTTTTTTTTTTTTTTTT